TGGCAAAGACATTCTTACCACAGAGGAAGTCGAAATCAAGCATGCGCTGGATAGGAAGCTGCTTGTAATTGTAGAACAACGCTTGTGTAGTACGAGAGAAGAGCTGCCCAGTAGCCATGATGGCAAGACTCGGTGACCTGTAAAACAAATCAGTATCAGAAGTCCAACGATCTCAGGCAAAAGAATTCGATCTATTGCTTATAACTGCCACCTACCAAACAGAACCTAATCAATGCTGCTGCTCACATTCACCCAATGCAGCTATGCCGTGTAAGTAAGCAGAAGGGATCTACCACACCACCAAACCAAACCCTAAAATAGACAGCATTGAAACGAAATCGTACAATCCAATCCACACATTCAACCAAACTCGTACCTAACTCCCCCAACCACTAACCAGCTCTGCTCCAACAGATCTCCCACTAACCCCAAAAAAGCCGAACAACCAAAACGATCAGCAGTATTTCAAAAATTAAAATCGCCGTCGCCAAATCTAACTCGAACGGGAAGAAAGTAAGCAATGCAACAGAAATTCAAACACAACGATCGCTCGCAAATCACTCGCAGCAGGACATTCGATCTCAAGTTCAAAGCTCAAATAAACTCTTTCTAGCGAGATTTGGCGGCAAGAAACCAGTGGCGGGGGATTAAGAAGGGGAATCAGGGAGCGGATCTAGGCAAGTGGCGGGAGGGAATTCAGAGCTTTTGTTTGGTCAGCGAGAAATCTATGGACCTACCTACCTGAAACCGGACGCAGGTGTGTCTTCGTGTACAGTAAGAAACCCTCGACGAAGTCGCCGATTTTCTCGAGCGAGAAAGTGAAGGAAAATCGAAGAGACAAAGAATGCAGGAATGTTTCAGGATGAAGTGTGGGAGTGAGTGAGCGAGACGAGTTTGGATATATATAGAGAAGGGAGAGCAGAGGTATTTTCTCTATTTGTTATTATTGCATTTGAAGCTCCAGCTACCAGCCTACCGGTTCAGGAATAAAAGGGGGGAAATGGAGATGGTTTGGAAGAGAAGGAAGAGTCAAGAGAGAAGGAGAGGGACACGTGGCGCGTGGTAGTTCGTTTCCAGGACGCAGATCGCTTTTGGCTGTTTGTATATTTCTTCTTGGGTTGAGTAACTACAGTTTGGTACCTAAAGAAAATCTTTCGTAAGGTTTTCATCCTCAGTTTTGCTTCTAATACTATTTTCGCATATGGTCCAGTAATTATGGAAGCCACGAAATGTTCTAACGATTTAATCATAGTTCCAAGTGGAAGTCATAAAATTTTGGGCCTTAAACGTTACAAAATATGGTGCTCTACTTTTATTACACTCATTTGGAACTATGATTGAATCGTCGATTTCATATTAAATATTTATAAAAAATTTACTCCTTCAATTATTCAATTATCAACATGTTAGAAGGATATAAAAGTGTGACCTCTATTTTGGATTTACCTGATTCAACTAGAACTAGTAGAAGTGTAAGATTTCACGGAAATAATTTTTGTATAGTAGGATTAACTATGTTTGATTGAACAAACTTGAGAAAGCTAAACTCTTAAACGATATTCATATATTGATAACATAACAAAAATATAAAGAATGTCGATATTTTAATGCAAAAATCTAAACTCTTAGAAGTGGACTCAAAATTGACGAATACATTATTCGGATAGATTTCATTTACTAATAATCTCATATTGTCAAGTCCAATATAAGCCGAAATGATTTGAAATTCCATGTCCCGACTAGAAAAGATAAAGTATAGATAATTTTTTTTGTTTGATTTTCGGTGTGAATTTCATACCATCTGCATCGGGAGCACCAAACAAGCTGGTGAAAACCAGCTACTCTAGATATTTTATGTTACGTGGATTTCTCTAATAAAAATTTCTTGCGAAATACTCGAATGATAAATTAGAAAAAGAATGATAAAGAAAGAAAATGACAAATAATTTGGGTTCCAATTTTCAATGTTGTTAAACTAGAGAATGCAAGCATATTTATAAACTAGAAAAAACTCTAATTCCTTCTCCTTTTCCTTTTCCTTCCGGATGAGCGACCCTTTCTTCTTTATTCAGTCCAAAATATGAAACCTATCCCACAAGAGAATAATAACCAAATCGTGGACAAATAGATACGCAAGTCGTGTTTTTTTAAATTATCAGGATATCTTGATTCTCGTAACATTTTACTTATTTCAAAGGCTTGACACTCTTTTGTTTGAATGCTAGACTTACGAGATAACTTAAGAAGAATATATAGATGAATTAGATCCTCAATGTTAAAATTAATTACTAAACCAAAATTATAAGCGTCTTAAGTTACACGAACTTAACTCGTGAAGTTTGCCAAACATTTCTCATGTAGCAATAATTATCCAAAAACTAATGATTTGGTCAATAGCTGTATGCTGTGGAGTGAGACGATCTGGAAGCAATGGAGTGCCATGGAGCTGGGGTTTGCTTCGTATTAAAGTGGGAGTTGTATGGCTGGCTGGTGGGAGTGGTTTGGTTAGGTAGTATATCCAAACCAAACTCCGTTTAATTTTCCGAAGCCCAACTGGAGAACGCCACTCGCACCAGGGAGCGAGTGCTGTACACGCTCTCTGTCTCGAACCACAATAAAATAGTGGGGAAACACAATAGTCAGCAAAAATGGACTTGTTGGTAATTAATAATTTTCGAGAAAATGGTATGGGAAAATTAGTCAACATAGATGAACTTGTCATTCATTAGTTTATGATTCTCGTCAGCATCAATGATGCATGATGAACTATAAGTTTAGTTTGTATTTTAACCTTGGATTAGATAGATACACAATTCATTTGGAGTTCGCATGCACCACCTCAAATTAAAACACGCATGAGAAGAAAAAAATATCTTCGTGATTTGTAAGAAGAGTGTTCAAGAGGGGATCTTCCCCCATTAATTTCCACCATTTTATCATCAAGTTACACGTCGGTTCATGAGTTGTACATAGCATCTATCTATTTATATCTATCTATCTATCTATCTATCTATCTATATCTATATCTATCTATAGTAAATATTATGGCTATTCAAAAATAATTTCTTGCCACATAAGCACTTGGTGAATGCACAAGTTGCTAAGGTGGACAATTTTTTATAAACAAAAATCTATTTATAAAGCTATCTCTCTCTTCTTTAAATAATTCTACTCATTTTTATTTAACTTAAAATAAGTTAATTTTTTAAGGAAACATTTAAACAAACAAACACATACATAAGTAATAATATATTTTTTCCATTAAACAAACTATAACGATGGAAATAGAGAGTGACATATATCGTATTTAACCCAAGCTGATTAAATCTGGTTAAGTAAATTTTCTACTTATTTTTACTAAAATTTAATAATAAATTAAATTTTGATGAAGAAAAAAAAAACAAGCACACACATAAATAATAATAATTTACAATTAAACAAAATATAAACGATGGTCTAAGATAAAACAAGCGTTTGATAATCAATCAACTTTGAGAAATGAACGATATGACTATATGTTTTTTGCTATCAAATAAAACAAGTATAAATTTTTTAGCAAAATGTTTGAATATAAACTTGACAGAGCAATGATTGTTATTTTTTAAAAAACTTCTTATTTATTCCGATAAATAAAAATATATTAATTATTATTGCAAACTTTTAATTTTTTTATGTCCCTTTCCCCATTTTGATTGTCTCACTAAATGAGGTGAACCAAGCCGAGGGTTGTCGACTGCTCCCTCTTCCTCCTTGATCTGAAGCTGGCAACTGGTCTCACATTCTCAGCGATATGTTATTGTTTGCGGTTGACTGGCCGAATTATACTCTTCTTCCCATTCTTTTCTTAATTTCTTCCAAATTACGACGGTTGGATGGTAAATTTTCCCACTCTCGATGAATGAATGTATTTCTTCTTTGTCTTTCACGGCGAAGGGTTGCTATATACTTTTATTTAGATATATAAAATATAATTAGAAGGGTTAATTGGTTGGACTTAGGGCATACCTCCTTTGGTTGAATAATTGATCGTTTTTCTTGAATGCCTATTGCAACCCGATTTCTTGAATGTTGAAATGGAAAGTAGAGTTGTGATGGTTGTTTATTATATTTTATGTTCACGATTGACATGCTACTAGCTAGCAATACAATGATGATCTGTTTAGTAATTAGTAGGTAGCAAAGGGGTTATAAGTAGAAGGGAACATAATTGGGGTTTTATAAAGACCGTGAAGAAGAAAGAAAATGATAATGGTGGTTTCTCTGTTGTCTATTTCGATATTTTTTAATTTCTACATGTTTGCAGTGACATTTGTTTGTTTCATTAAGGTGAATTTTTCCGCATTGAATCCCTAACTAAAGCTTGATTTTGACATGATTGTTTTCTTACAAACTACTATTTGGATTGATGCATATATTCAGTTCACAAATGTGGAATCTACATTGTAAAATGAGCTGAGTTGTATTGAAGACTGCTCCTTTCATTATTTGTCTATGTTGTTATTAGGTAAAAAAGCACGATTCTTTTATGCAGGAGATATGTAGCTCTCTACAAAATATAAATTGTGTTTAAGTATATGCAATTTAATTTGATGAAAATATTGCTTTAATAAGTTAGCGATAGCTGATAGTTTTGTTTGTGGTTGGTTTTGTTAGAACATTTCAAGGTAATTAAACGAGTACATGAAAGATTGATGGACGTGATTGCTAATGAGTTTCCTCATATGAAACAATACCTGAAATAAGGTAAGTGTAATTTTTAATTCCATGTATATTACTTTAATAAACATAAATAATAATAACAATTAGAATACTATAACGAATTATAAAATAACCAAACAAAATACACCAAAATACACCGCCCAATGGGCGAGTAAAAAACTAGTTTCAGATTATAAACGAGAAGACAAATTCGTTTGCATGATTAAAGACAATTGCTAAACTTTCACAAGAAAATGGTAGCGCCAAAAAAGTATATAGTATTTCCATTAGTGTATTGACTTGAAAATTAATTAGCATCGTTGGTATTTTTGTTCCTTTCAATCGACAATACAAGGACCGCTTCCTCTCTCTCTCTCTAGGAATCGGCGATTGCGGTGTTCTTCGTCTCCGCTGGAGTCTTCTTCGTTGATTCTTCGTCACTCCTTGTCAATTCCTTCTCTTGTCTTTGCTGAGCCAATTCTTCACTTCGGAATGAGTTCATTGTCGAGCCGTTCGTGGGCGGAGTTGTTCGGTATTGCTGAGGAGAATCGCTTGGTGTACGTGGAACCAGAGATTGTGGACGGGGTATACCAGCGGAACTTGAGGATGAAGAGATAGCACGATGGAAGCATTGCTTGGTAGGTCAATTTCTTTTCTTCATCCCCTCATATTCGTGAGGTTCAGTCTTTGGCAAATCGTCTCTAGGGAAAGAAAGGAACTATTAGGGTTTCTTGGTTATGGGAGTGACTATTGCTTTTCCAATTCCCAACTGCTGAGACTGCAAACTGGGTCTTCTCGAGTGGTCCTTGGCATCTGAAGAACGATATGTGCTATCTTAGGAAGTGGGAACCAGGAATCCGAGCTGAGCAACCAAGGCAGACAATTCCGATATGAGTTAGATTTTTGGATTTGCCTCTTCAGCATGGAACGGGTCGTATTCTTACGCGTTTGGCAAGCATGATTGGCAAACCACTTTGGTTCGATAAATCAACTCGGCTTGGCCAAAGGTTGGGATATCCCCGTGTTTGTGCGGAAATGAGGATTGATTCAGAGTTCCCAGAGTTCTTGCATATTGTCCCGGATCGAAGGCCGGCGTACAATGTTCATATCGAATTCTGCAACAAGCTAGCAATATGTACCAAATGTTGCAAGTTTGGGCATAACTGTGAGGAAAGTCAGAATGAGAAGCAGGACACAGAGCCGGTTGTCGAGGTGGTTCAAGAATTATTACAAGTTGAGAGTGTGGGTATAGAGGAAGTGTCAGAAGCAGTGATGCAGGATGAAGGCGAACCTGTAATTCAGGAGGGCTTGCTCCCTAGTGCTGAAGGGAATAGGCCTGAGAAAGAGGGATTGATTCCAAATTCTGTTGCTGAGGGGAATAGACCTAATCAGGAGGGATTACAGAGAGCTATGGTGAACCTTGTCACTTCTCTGTATGAGTCTGCTCATTGGCAGGGGTGTCTTCCATCAGAAAAGGATTTTCAGGAAGCTGTAACAACCGATGAAATGGTAACTCATGGCAATTATTTTGATGCTCTTTCTTCCTTAACTCAGTTTGAGGTAGAAGAGCTGGTATTATCTCCTTTGAAGGATCCTATCAATTTCCCTGAGCTAGGCAAGGAAGTTCAACAAAAGAAAAAGGGTAAGCCTGGTCGGCCTCCAAAAGGGGCAAAGCACTTCAAAGGATTGGATTGAAGTGAAGCCTCAAACTCAGGGGGGTTAGGAGAAAGTGCAGTGAATTTCAAAAGATTGGATTGATGCGATGAAACTGTTGGATCACAAAGTATTGGGGCCATGGTTTACCTGGTCCAATAAACAAGTTGCCAATCCAATAGCCAAGCGTTTGGATCGTGCACTTGTTTCAGAGAAGTGGTTAGAGGCTTTTCCAAGAAGTTCATTTAAGATTATGTTGCCTGGACTCTCAGATCACTGTGGTCTCTTAATCAGTTTGGATTCAAATGTTTAAACTTTACCTCGACCTTTCAACTATTTCAATGTTCTGCAACAGGCTCTGCAATGTCTAGATTGTATCAGAAGCTACGCAGTATCAAAGGGAAGCTTAAAGGGTCTTAATTGACATCACTACTCGGATATTCATGCAAAGGTAGTTACAGCTAGGAAAGAACTTGCTCAGGCACAACAGGAAGTGTTGGACCGCCCTGCCTCCTCAGCCTTCCAGTTGAGCAGAGGTGTATGGTTCAGCTTCTTGAGTTGCAGAAAGCAGAGAATTCTTTCCTTAGACAGAAATCCAAACAACAATGGATTAATAGTGGAGACACAAACTCCAGGTTCTTTCATAGTATGATGAAAACAAGGCAAGTAAGGAATTCAATCAAGCAATTAATCTCAGAAGATGGTGTAGTGTTGGAAAATATAGAAGAGATTGGTCTGGAAGTAGTAAGATTCTATAAGAAGCTACTGGGAACACAAGATCCTAATCTAAGTAGGGTTACTGTTGACACTTTAAGGCAGTTACTGAAATTCCACTTAATAGAAGGAGAGGATTTGTGCTCTGTAATCACAAGAGAAGAAATTAAGAAAGTAGTAATGGGTATGAAGAAGGGGAAAGCTCCAGGGCCAGATGGCTATCCAGCAGAGTTCTTCCAAGGGCACTGGGATATGGTTGAAGAAGTCTTTACCAAGGCTATTCAAGAGTATTTTTAGTTTGGCAAGATGAGGAGGGAGACAAACTCCACAATACTTGCCCTTTTGCCAAAGGTACCCAATGCAAACTCCATGAAAAACTTTAGGCCCATATGTTGTTGTAACTTTGTTTACAAGGGCATATCAAAGAGTCTAGGAGAAATGCCCTTTTGTCACAAAGAATCAAACACACAATTTTACTATATGAAGTGTGCCAACTCACCAATTAGACTGGCCCTCATTCACAATTTGTGGTCTTTGTCGTTCTTTTTAGTCACGGGAGTGCTAATGAAAATTACATCAATAATCTTACCGCTATTACAACCAAAATAACTAGCACGCTAGATCTACTTGAGAAATGTCGAAAACCAGTCTCTTGCTCCTCGACTTTATTCTCCATCTTCTTGTATTTAGGTTTTCTATAGTTGGGTAAGGTTTTACATCATAACTGGAGGAAGAGAGAGGCACCATACCTATGCCTTGACTTGACGAATGACGAATACATAAGAGGGCCATACCATCTACTCCATTTCTTCCAACAACTTAGTTACTCGGTTAGTTGGCCCATCCTCTGACTTCCACCTCATCAATTCCCAATTCCACATCATCCACAAAATAAACTCTTCTGGTTAAGAGCATGGTCCCTGTGGGAGCCAAAACCTATGGAAGAGAGGCCAACTGTTATTGATACATGGATTATAAGTTAAATCTCTCCTTTGCTAACACAGCTCCACAACAGGTTGAACTTGCCCTAGTCCAACCTTTGGACTAGCCAACAAACCGTTTCAAAATGTTGTGAACAGATCTGCTGACTTTGATACCTTCCATTATCTGAAGCTTGAATGGTGCACAGGATGGTAACATTTCACAGTCCCCACCAAGCCAAGAGCTAGCCCTAGTGCTTCCACCAGAAGCTCGGGATGATCCTCGATGGAGCTGGGACCCTGCTGTGATGGCATGGAGCTCAGCACTCTTCCTACAATCTGGAGTCATATGTAGAGCTAAGAGAGGAAGATTTTTCAATGCGGCAAACGTTGAATCAATGAAAAAAGGGAAATGGAACCGACCTTTCGGGCGTACCCACCATAAGCAACACCACCAATGAAAGCGCTGGAAGGTGAGGCAAGAACTGATCTCACATCGTTTGAGTTCCCTAGGGGGAAGAGAAAAGGCAGGCATCTGAAAAAGTTCATGATGCAATTAACAGAGAGAAGCTTGGAAATGGGGAAAGAGTGAAAGACACACTACCAATACCTAAGGTTGTCTGGAACAGTCCTTCCTTTCTCAGTCCATCTGCCGTATGAGCATTTGTGCCACCAGCCAATTGAAGGAAACCTGTAATCAAAATGTCATCAGTGAGTCTTGTGGTTCAGAAGATGTTGTGATCCATGGAATGTGTATAATCATCTATGGAATGTAAAATTCATATAATTTGATAGGAATGAATAGTAGACATTTCATCGTTTCAATGCCATTTATTATAAGATGAGAAATTGACTCATGGGATATACTAAAAATGGATTTTAGCCCTTATTCATTGGAATTTATGTTCAATTGTTCTGTTACTAACAATTTAACCCACATTTCATCAACCATGCCGCCCCTAAGACTTAAGCCACCAATCTAGTTAGAATAGCTCTAACTGGCACATTTAAATTGGTCAGCAAAAAAAAAAAAAAAAAAAAAAATACCAAGGGGCCTGTCTTTAGCAGCAGCCAATCGAACAGCGAATGCAATCGACTCCCTAGTGGCCCCTCGTCCAATATCTCCACTCATTGGCCGTCCATCCAGCTTTGTACCATTACAAGAAATACACGATAGAGATTTTAACACAGTAAGTGGTAAGCATAAAGAAATTAAGAAACCATCTATAATAGAATTATTCAGTGTTTCAACAGACCTGCCATAAGTTAAGGCATTTTAGATGAGGCTCCATGATAGAATGCATTTCATTCATTACAGACATAGCTGACTCGCCGGTATAAGGCAAGCTAATCTGCAGGGCAATCGGTATCAAATGCAGGATGCACTCAGTCAATCACAATCTGCCAACAAAAATTTCCTTGTAACCAAATCAGTCAGATCAAATACTTACAGCTACTAGCTTCAGGCATTCAGTTGAGTTTCTTAAACCATTCCATAGCTCCTTGAAAGGAGCAGTTTGCCTACAGACATCACAAAGGTTAATCACATTGTATATGTCACAATGAGCACTTCTACTATGCTATATAGCATCGGTGCTTTAATGTACAACTTAAAGTTGTACCATAACATCAAAATGTATAAGTTTAGGTTGTATCATGAAGGAATTTGTATCATTATGTTATGGTACAACTTTACAACTTGAAGTTGTACATGTCACAATAGTTTTTTTTTTTTTTTTTTTACTTCCATAAGCTAAAAATTAAGAATCAAATCCTGCCTTCCGCTTGTATGTATCTCAATGGCATCGACATCACTTCGCCTCAAGAGTTCAGAAGTAGTAGCAGAATCTCTTATATACGTCACCTCTCCTATTCCAAATCAAACAAGTTCTAACATTAATGCTGTCAGAGTATTCAAGGATCTAAGATTCACCTATGAAGAAATGATCAGCAAAATGGAACCAGAAAGAGGAAACAAAAGACAACTCACTGATTTTGTCGTATGGGCACACTGGGAAGCAACGACCACAGCCATAACAACGCTCAGTTATGACTCCACTATGATCATCTAACTTAATTGCATTTGCAGGACACACAAGCTCGCATGGCCTCGAGCAATCCATCGGACAATCCTCGGGATCAAACTCTGCAATAACTGATGGATGAGCAAGGAATCTCCTCTAAAGAAGTCGTGTTGAACTTGTTAGGACAGATTCCTTCGTCCACATTACAGACTAATGAAAACCTCAAAGCAAACTTGTCGAATGGAGCTGTTAAAGCCCACTGAGAGCCTATGACAAAGGTCCATAAATGGTTCCCAGCAAAAGCATACAGTTCTTCTATAACTCAAACATAACACTTTGACCCGTCTATGTAACTTCATCTCTCCAAAATTCTCACTAAACCTCTCGAAGGTTTAAATAGAACATCAAAATTCTCCTAATTGTAATTTCTGGTTACTTCTTTGCTCATTCTCCTTAAACTCTAAATGAAATTCAGAGCAAGTCTCCCACCATTTTCCCCAAGTTAGGAAAATTGTGAAACACTCTTTGCACCTACCAGCTTTACGAAAGTGCAGATCATCATCATCGTTGACACTTATCATAACCCATGGCCTCCGAAGCTCCACAACCTCCATCGCAGCGTCGATTCCTTCGTTAACAGCACTCACCACCGCAGCATCAGCAGCACAATCAATGCAATCGACTGAGGAAAACGAGAAAACCATTCCAATTGCCACATCAACGATCAACCCTAGAATTAGAAACCTGCTGAGAAGTCGTTAACAGAGTCCTCACCTCCAGCTAAGGTGTAAACCATGGATAGATTCCTGATATCCACAACATCCTAGTATAAAAAAAATGATGACTACCATTGTGAGTAAAAACCGAAAGGGATTGTGGGTATTTGAGAGAAAAGAAGTTCAGAAGAGCTATGGAAACCTCAAAGCTTGCACCACAGATGAGCTTGACCCAGTTTCCCTTTTGCAACGACTCGTGCGGGGAAGTCGCGAGGGAAAGAACCCTGGATGTTTTGACGAGGTTTCTGGCATTCTCGATTCCTTTAGCAGTCTTTCTGTTCTGGAACTTCGATTCCTCTGAAACGGAAGCGGAAAGAGATGAAGCGCCATGGAAGGGTGTAGGAAAGCAAGCAGCAGTAGCCGAAGTAAGGAAGCAGGGGAGGAACCTTGATTTGGAGGGAAAATTGTGGCGCTAATGGAGAAGCTCAACGCCATTTCCGTTTCAGACAGGCGTCAATTGGAGGGAGAGGAAGAAACTCCTCGGAGCCAGTTGGTGGATTATCCGATGGAATTTAATTTTCGAGTGTATTTGGGCTGAGTGGGCTTCATCTTAAAACCTCTACGTTGGGCTTTATTGAATGCAGTTGCTGGGCCAAAATACAGGCCGCACCTCGAGTTGTTGGGATAAACTCAATCGATCAAATGAAAGTCATTATATATGGATCTGAAATTTGCTCAGATCCAGATATTGTGTGCTCATATAGGAGTCATCGAAATTCGAACAAAAAATCTCTCGATCATAAAAAGCTCTGATATTATGTTAATAACTCGTTGATTCCAATAACTCGAGTGATTGGAAAAGATTTAATCATGAATCATACACCATTTACTGACCAAAATTCCGAACCGACGAAATAACAGGATTTTAAAGTGATATGTTTACTTTATAACGAAAGATTGACTCTGAGGTTAAGGACCCGCCAACGGCAAATAAGAAGGATAGCAGCGCGTATAAAACAATCGCTTCGGATTCCTGCTCTCCGATCGCCGTCAGTTTAGACCACGGTGGTCAATGGTTAGCCTCGCTTTAATTAAAAATGTTTTACAGTCAGATTAAGCTTGAGGACCGCTCTGAGATTAGCCACATCTATAAACGTCGTCTCCATAATCCCAAACCCATCCACGAACCTGAAAAACCCCATCCCTGAAACAATCCCAAATTCCCTCTCCTTCCTCACGAAAATATCTGACCCTTGGATCTCCAGCGTGCTCCCGACAAACTCACCACCGGTGAAAATCACCGAAAAGAACAAGTACAATCCCTTCCCGTCGAATTGGGAATTTATGTAGGCCCCCTGTGCCCTGCCCTTGCTGATTTCCTTCGACTCCGTCGTGGGCCCCTCCGTCACCGGGTCGTCGACGACTGCGATTGTCACGAATTGGAGGATGTTGAAGCCATCCGCTGTTAGAGAAGATGAAGACTGATGCTGAGTCTGTATTGACAAAACGACACTAGGAGCTCGCTGCACAACGTCGTTCTCTCCAGAAGCAATTGAAGAGCTGGACAAGAACAATGACGTTCTGCTTAGTGTTGTTTATTCCTCCTCTGATCGTCGTACAGAGCACGTGTCTTGTTTCTATTGGTAGTTGTAGATTTACTGTTTATTAGCTGTTGTAATTAAAATTAGCCTAGACTACTTGTACAGGAAGGAGTTGTCTCCTATATATATAGCCTACGCGGCAGAAGAATCCAATGCGGGTTCTTCTCCAAATCTGATCCATTTCATAGTTTCACATGGTATCAGAGTCTGGTTACCAAAACTAGGGTTTCTTCATCCGCATTCTTCTTATTCTTATCTTTGAGTAAACCATGGCGACTGCATCTACCAATGAGTCGACCAATTCATCTTCTACTGCTGCAAATTTCGGAGCTATCTCTACCACTACACTGTCGTCACCATTCCCTACTATATCAACCCTAATGAGTCTCTTGTCTTCCCTATTAAGCTCACTGGAGCGTCGAATTACAATCTTTGGAGCAGAACTGTTTGTGTGGCGTTGAAAAGCAAGAACAAGTTGGGTTTCATTACTGGGTCGATTCCAACCCTTGACCCAGCTGATGAATCTTACCCAGCTTGGGAACAGAGCAACACCTTAGTCCTCTTCATGATTCTAGGGTCACTCGACCATAGCCTTGTCGATGTTGTCTCCACCATCAAGAAAGCACAAGTGCTATGGGAAGATTTGAGACAACGATTCGGCCAAGCTGACAACATCAGAATCTGTGACCTACAAACTGCTATGTACTCCCTGAAGGAAGGTAACAGATCTATAAACCAATTTTACTCTGAGTTGAAGGGATGTTGGGAAGAGTTGGGTCAATTTACTGCCTATACCTCAGTGTGTTTGTGGAGGAGCAGTGGGTGGAGGAGCGATTTGTGTTACTGAAACTACCATTAAGAGGTATAGAGAGAATGAGTTTGTGACTAGATTCATTAAGGGCTTGAATGATTCATATGAGGGGGTAAGAACAAACCTATTTATGATGAGACCCCTTCCTCCTATGGAGACTGCTTTCCATTATGCAATCCAGCATGAGAGGCAACTTGCTAAGCCTAATCCAGAGTCTCAAGTAGACTCAGTTGCACTTCTAGCTTCAAATAAAGGCAAGGGAACGGAGAACACTAAGGGGAATCTCTTTTGTCGATACTGTAAGAAAGACAATCATGTGATTGCTGACTGTTATAAGCTGAAGAGAAAGAATTCCCCTAAGGAAACAGGAGGATCATCAGGGTTTGCAGGACAAGTTCAAGGTACTAAAGGGAGTGGCATTCTGCCCATACCTGAAACCAAGAGTGTATTTGAAGCTGGGGATGGATATACCAACATCAGGCTATCAACTGAGGATCTCAGTAGGCTCCAGAGGTTGTGAACCAATTCAGTCCACCACATTCTCCTACCTCACATGGACCATCTGGAACTCAGCAGAGCCAACTTGTGGTGAATTCCATCATCAGACATGTTTCTGTTAACCCAAAATTTTCAGGTTAATTTACCTTGAGTACCAATTACATTAAGCACCCTATGGAACTTGTCAATGTGTGGTTCCTTGATACTGGAGCCACAGATCGTGTTGCATGCTCATTGAATTCATTTTCTAGCTACAAACCTATATAGAATGTGTTTATAACCCTACCTAATGGTTCCAAGACCCCCTGCTACCCATTCAGGAACTATTAGGATCTCTCCTAAACTCACTTTGTTTAAAGCTTTGTTTGTACCAGGCACCAGCCTTTACATTCAATTTGGTTTCTGTCAGTATGCTTACCAAAACTCTTCCAATCTCACTCACTTTTAAATCCAACCTATGTCATATCCAGGACCTCTTCACCCTGAGGAAGATTGGTTTTGCCTGAGAGATTAGAGGCATATACCAGATCAATACCTACACAGAAGACATACCAAAATTTGTGAATTCCATCAAGACACCACTTTTAATTCCAACCTATGTGATATCCAGGACCTCTTCACCCTGAGGAAGATTGGTTTTGCCTGAGATATTAGAGGCCTATACCAGATCAATACCTACACAGAAGACATACCAAAATTTGTGAATTCCATCAAGACACCAAACCTTACACCTCAAGACTTTGATTTATGCAATTGGAGGCTTGGCCATCCTTCTTCTTTTTGAACCAAAGAGCTACAGAAGTCTGTTCCTAGTATAGATTTTGAAGTGATACATCACTGTGATGTTTGCCATTATGCTAAACAAAAGCGCCTTCCCTTTTCTTCAAGTCAATCCATTGCAGAACATTTATTTGACAGTATTCACGTTGACATCTGGGGCCCTTTGGTTGTGTCTAGTTACAATGGCTTTCAGTACTTCTTAACCATTGTTGATGATAAATCTAGGTGTGTATGGACTTACCTCATGAAATTGAAAAGTGAGGCTAGGCAGCTCTTACAGGACTTTTGCATTATGGTACAGAACCAATATAATGCAAAGATCAAAACCATTAGGTCAGATCAAGGTGGAGAATTTCATATCCCTTCCTTTTACTCTCACCATGGGATTAGACATCAAATGGCCTGTGTTGAGACACCTCAACAGAACTCTAGGGTTGAGAGAAAACACCATCACATCTTGAATGTAGCTAGGTCTCTAAAATTCTAATCTGGATTGCCACTCAAATTTTGGTCAGATTTTATTCTTCATTCTGTTTACCTCATAAACAGGCTTCCCACTACTGCCCTAAAAAACAAAACACCTTATGAAGTTCTGTATGGCAATCCACCTGACCTATCTCAACTAAAAGTCTTTGGTTGCCTATGTTATGCTTCTACATTAGGTAATCATAGAACTAAATTCCTACCAAGAGCCAAACAATGTGTTTCCCTTGGCTTTCATCTTGGAATTAAGGGATTTAAATTGTTTTGACTTGTTGGATCAAAAGGTTTTCTATTCAAGAGATGTTGTGTTCCATGAGAACATCATCCCTTGTCTAGACAATGCCACTACTAAGCCTCAACCCTCCAATCCTACTCCATCTTCCTTCCCATCCACTTCCACAGATTCACCACCTAACACCTTCCAACCACCTTCTTCTTCTATTCCTCTTGAAAACCCATCAGAACCAACTCATGCTTCTCCTGAAAAGGATTTGGTTGATACTGAACCATATTCTCCACAACCAGCATCCTCTCCTTCCTCTTCTTCCTCTCCTGCTACTCATACACCTTCACCCCCTATACATTCAGTACCTCAAACTCCTTCTCCTACCTCCCTACCTATTGCCGTTCGTAAAACTCCCAGAGTCCATGTTAAACCTATCAAATACAATGATTATGTCATGCATGTAGAATCACACATTGACAAGTATACATATCCATTGGCTGCGTGTCTGTCATATGATCAACTATCTCCAGGTTACAGAAACTATGTCTTTGCTGTGGAAACCACTTTCATTCCTAAGACTTTTGAGGAAGCAGTAAAGTACAAGGTCTGGAGAGATTCTATGAATGCTGAACTGAGAGCATTGTGATAGAAACCTAAAATTAGGTTCTATCGGATTTAGGGATTGGTGAGAGGAATGGAATCACCAAGGTGGTGATTATGGTTGATTTGGGGAAAAGGGAAGTGGAAATTGGGAATTGGAATTGAAGGAAGGGAGGGGAAAGAGTGCTGCTGGCGCAGCAGTTGAGGGGAGGGAGAAGAAGTTGGCTGCTCGGCAGCCTTGGGGAAAGAGAGAGGGAGGTCGGCAGAGGGAATTGGAGAGAGAGAGAGAGAGAGAGAAGAGTCTTAGGTTTTAGGTTTAATTCTTGCTTAGTGGGTAATTCCCACGTACAAGTAGTTTATATAAAAGAATAGAAATTCCCTATCGCTACCCAAATTATCAAATAACACCCAATAAATCCTCAAAGAACAATAAACCGACAAAAGTAATCCGAATAAACAAAACTAGGAAATTGCGGGTTTCTATCATCCCCGCCTCCTTGGAAACAACCTTGTCCTCAAGGTTGACTGGGACTCACTGCTTCTCGTCCACGGCCTCCATAGCCTCGTCCTCTACTTCATCTTCCCGTCGTCCCACCAGCATCATCACATCAGGCCTCGCACACTGGTGACCGAAAGTGAACCGCTCATTGCAGTTGAAGCACTTGCCCTCTCGGCGCTTTTGTTCAATCTCTGCGGGTGTCAGCCTGACGAAGCCCTTTGGCGGAGCACGAGGACCTGGCGCCGCCGATGGTGGAGGCGGATCTCCTCCTGCAGCTCCGGTTCTTGCTCCTGCGGCCGCGCTACCACCCCCACTGCCCCCCTGGGTTGTTGCTCCCTCCTCCGCTCGGCCTCGGGTAACGGCCGATGACGCTCCTCCAACTCGCCAGTTCTTCCTCCTTGTGCCCTGCATAACGGAAAGCAGTCCTTACCGAGTCGGGTTCAAACACCCGGACAGCTGCCGCGATCTCCGGCTTTAGGCCAGCCAACAATAGGCCCACCAGTGTCTCTTCCGGAACCCCCTTGCACTGATTCCTCAGTTTGAGAAACTCTGACCTATATTCCGCTACTGTCCCCGTCTGCCTCAACTTAGCTAGCTTCTCGGGGGCCCATCCCTCAGATTTGCCGAACTGATAGCGGAGTTCCTCTTGGAACATTGGCCACGTGATCAAAGTCCCTGTAGCCGCGTACGACCTCTCCAACCACTCCCACCAATGCAGCGCGTCTCCTTCCAGATAGAAAGACGCCAGTTGCGCCTTTCGCTCCTCCCGAGTTGGGTGGTTCTTGAACCACCTATCAGCTGCATACAACCACAACCCTGCATCCTCTTGCCCATTGAATTTCGGGAATTCAATGGTTGGAGGCTTAGCTCTGAAAACCAAGTCATCATCCACATCATTAAAGCGGTCATACCCAGCATACCTTCCACCATGCAGATTTCTCGGCCCTCGGTCCCTGAACTCAGCGCCCTCCTCGCCTCGGGGTGTACCTACATACCAGCCCCTCGAGTCAGGGGTGACTTGCCCTGGTCCGCCCGGTCCTCTGCGCGACGGTTGAAAGGCTCCTGCCTCACTAAACGAACCTCGATCGCCCCCAAGGAACTCCGGATGATGCCTGCCCTGCGGTTGTTGACCGCTGCCTGGTTCGGACCGGTTTGGTTCGACCCAGCTGGACCGGTTTGGTTCGTCCCGGTTGGACCTGTTCGGTTCGGACCGGTTGGACCGATTCTGATCCACCCGCCCCGCCCAGCCTGATGTGACCCGAACCCGCCTTGGTCGATCGCCCACCTTGGGTCTGACCCGTCTGCCCTCTGGTTGGGTTCGGCCCACATCTCTGGCCGACCCGCCAAGCTAAGCTCCTCTTCTTCTGGGCTCAACCATCCTAGCCCGTTAGGACCCCAGGCTCGACTCCCCTCTTCTTCCTGATTCAGTGGGCCCACATAGTCATAGCCCAACATTTTGGCCTTGCCCTTCCGGGCCGCCCTTTCCTGGTCCGTCGAGGTTGGGAGTAGGCCCGCCTCCTTGTTGGGCCCCAGGTGCACTTGGCCCGCACGCACGATCTCCCGCCCTAGCCCGGTGGCCGAGGCGGCCGACCCGCCCGCTCTCGGAACCACCACTGCCGCCGCCTTTGCGGCCCCTACCACCGCCGGCTGACTTGCCGCCGCCGCCGTTTCTCCCGGTACCGCTGCCGCGATCAGCCCTCCTCCTTCTTCCTGCTAGAGATCGATCAGGGTCTCGATTCCCGGCGGGTTGCCTTGTCTCGCCTCTGGATCCCGCGTCAGTTTGCTTAGGGCTCGCCGAATCTCATCCATCTCTTCGCGACGTCGCTCCTCCGCTATCTCCCGCTCCACCATCAGTCTCTTCACAGTAATCTGGAGTTCGCCCATGGCGATATGGATTTCTTCCAGTCCGGTCTCGTCTACCACCCTGACCGTCTCCCCCGCCCTCGCAGCCGCCGTAGCCGCCGCAACAGCCGCCGTAGCCGCCGCAGCAGCCGCCGTAGCCGCCGCAGCAGCCGCCGCCACAGCCGCCGCCGGGCCGCCCTCATCACCGCTGCCTCGGGTCGTCACCGCGGTGGTCGCGGTCTCCTTCTCCCGGGCCGCCTCCTCGGCGGCTTTCTTCGCAGCCTTCTGAGATTTCGTCACTGCCATAGCGCGATCCTGTTCTTGGTTGATTTGCCTTTATCATAACCGGGCTCTGATACTAGATGATAGAAACCTAAAATTAGGTTCTATCGGATTTAGGTATTGGTGAGAGGAATGGAATCACCAAGGTGGTGATTATGGTTGATTTGGGGAAAAGGGAAGTGCAAATTGGGAATTGGAATTGAAGGAAGGGAGGGGAAAGAGTGCTGCTGGTGCAGCAGTTGAGGGGAGGGAGAAGAAGTTGGCTGCTCGGCAGCCTTGGGGAAAGAGAAAGGGAGGTCGGCAGAGGGAATTGGAGAGAGAGAGAGAAGAGTCTTAGGTTTTAGGTTTAATTCTTGCTTAGTGGGTAATTCCCACGTACAAGTAGTTTATATAAAAGAATAGAAATTCCCTATCGCTACCCAAATTATCAAATAACACCCAATAAATCCTCAAAGAACAATAAACCGACAAAAGTAATCCGAATAAACAAAACTAGGAAATTGCAGGTTTCTATCACATTGGCAGCAAACAAAACATGGGATATGGTACCTTGTCCCTCTGGGAAGAGAACAATAGGTAACAAATGGGTTTTCACCATCAAGTTTAATCCTGATGGATCTATTGAGAGGTATAAGGCTAGACTGGTAGCCAAAGGATTCACCCAAATTCATGGGATTGACTTCCTTGATACTTATTCCCCAGTTGCTAAACTCAATTCAGTGAAAACCCTTCTTGTTGTAGCAGCTGCCAAGGACTGGGAATTACACCAGTTAGATGTAAGTAATGCATTCTTACATGGGGATCTTGAAGAAGAAGTATATATGGATCTTCCCCCTAGTGTCACTGAACCTGACCATGTTTGTCGACTCAGAAAATCCCTGTATGGGCTCAAGCAGGCATCCAGGCAGTGGTTTGCCAAGCTCACCGCTGCCCTGCTCAGTTTTGGTTATCACCAGTCCAACAGTGACTACTCTATGTTCATCAAGTATTCTCGGAATTCTGGAATTTCCATTCTCCTTGTATACGTTGATGACATTATCATTGCTGGAGATAATGTGCAAGACATGACAGAACTTAAACAGTTTCTGCATTCTCAGTTTAAAATTCGTGATCTCGGACCTCTTCATTACTTCTTAGGCCTTGAGATCGCTCGATCAAAGGGGGGAATGCATATATGTCAGAAAAAGTACTGCACTGAGTTATTGCATGACACTGTCTATGATGACTCCAAGCCTGTGATCACCCCCATTGATATGAAAACAAGACTTTCTACAGATGATGGGCCTTTGCTTGAAGATGGCACTTTGTTGAAGAAAATTCTGGGACGATTACATTACCTGACCATCACTCGCCCAGACCTTACTTTTGCCGTTCAACAGTTGTGCGAATACCAAGCCTCTCCTACCACCACACATCTACAATTAGTTTACAGAGTCTTGAAGTATTTGAAAAATGCCCCAGGACAAGGCTTATTTTATCCATCTCATGCCCTGACACACGGCGCTCAACAACAGGGTATTGTGTGTCATTTGGGAAGTCTTTGATAATCTGGAAATCGAAGAAACAGAGCACAGTTTCCAGATCGTCCTCAGAAGCTGAGTATCAAGCTCTAGCTCAGCTTACTTGTGAGATTGTTTGGGTTAGAAGGCTTCTACAAGAACTTCACATTGATCATCCAAGACCTGTGGAAGTCTTCTACGACAAGCGATCTGCAATTTACATTGCAGAGAATCATGTGTTTCACGAACGAATGAAACACATTGAGATGGATTGCCAATCAAAACTCATTAGCCTCAGTCACCTTGAAACGGAGAACCAAGTTGCAGATATGTTCACCAAAGGTCTGAGCCAGCATCGTCTTCATCACTTACTATCCAAGCTAAACATCCATGATATGTATGGTTAGCTTGAGGGGGCATGTTAGAGAAGACGAATACTGATGCTGAGTCTGTATTGGAAAAACGACACTAGGAGCTCGCTGCACGACGTCGTTCTCTCCAGAAGCAATTGAAGAGTTGGACAAGAATGATGTTGTTCTGCTTAGTGTTGTTTATTCCTCCTCTGATTGTTGTACAGAGCACGTGTCTTGTTTCTATTGGTAGTTGTAGGTTCACTGTTTATTAGCCGTTGTAATTAAAATTAGCCTAGACTACTTGTACAGGAAGGAGTTGTCTCCTATATATATAGCCTACGCGGCACAAGAATCCAATGCGGGTTCTTCTTCAAATCTGATCCATTTCATAGTTTCACACTGGCAACATCGGCGATAGGGTTCTGTTTGCCGGCGACGCTGATTGAGGAGGCATCGGCGCCAGTGTAGTAGTTGTGGACGTAAACTACGAGGTTCGTGATTTTGATGGGCGGGTCGAGTTTCGAGAAGGTGGAGGCGAGGTAGAGGACGGAGAGGGTTAGATGGAAGAGGAGGAAATTGGTGGCGAGCATGGCGGTGGTAATTGATCTGAGCTGAGTTTGTAAGTGAGGTTAATTCTTTCTTCAGTAGAGTTTAAGAAGTGGGCGATGAATGGAGGAAAGAATATGCTCCTTGAGAGAACACAATTGTTGATGACTAATCACGACAAAAAGGTATTTGTTATACTTTTGGTTCTTCTGTATTTTTCTTCAATTAACAATGCGCATTTATCAGTTACGATTAATGACTTTAACAGACTGATGGACAAAAAATTCACGTATTGGAATTCCATTGTATTATTCTATGTTTGGAATGGTAAGAAAGTCAGGAAATGAATTACATTTTACCCAAATATTGAAAATTAGAATTCCTATCAATGATAGAAATTGGATTTATGGAGATTGAATTAGTGGGCCCATTCATATTTATTATTATTTTATAACTCCACTATCTTATTCCTCTCTTTCTCTCTCATTAGTATTTCATTTCTCAAGATAAAAAAATCTATTAATTATTAATGATTGTTAAAGAGTACAATTCATTTCCATAGTTGTTGGAATTATGCCAAACACAAATATTTGAAATGAAATGGAATTGTATCCAAACAGGCTGTAAGTATTGTGGTGTGGAATGGTTAGCTCGATACGGGACTCTCGGTACTGGATTTTATCTAATCAAATGGATGTTTGGATTTGTTTATACCGAATCGAATATAATGTGGTGTGGTATTTTATTTAATGAGTGAATTTTATAAGTATTGAAGAAAAATGAATCGAATTGACATATGTATCGAACCAAACCGGATTGAATACAATGACGAACCGGAGAAAATATGAGCTTTGTTTCCACCTCGTTGGTGCCCGGTTCTGTACATGATGGGGGCAGCGACGACTATGAAACTAATCCCGCCTTGTCGTACTTTCTCAACCAACCTGATAACCCGAATAAGTTCTACGCTGGGAGAAGCCTAAGAATGTAGTAGAAGCAGTTGCTAGGTTAAGCAGCTGAAAGGAGATGAAATGGGGGTTCAATCTTAGTGAGAGTTGCTAGCTCTTCTCTTTCCTTTTATACTATGTAAACTCGGAATTTATCTACAATAAAAATGAAAAGTAACTAAATTTAAAATTGAACTGTAGTTAGCCGACATGTGGCTTTCACTCAATCCTTTCTTACTAACGGCTACGTCACCACTCTTCACTACGCTGTCGTTTCATTTCCTCTGCTTCTGGGCTTCATCAGCAACTGAGAACTATGCATCTTCTTCTTCTCTGCTGTTGCATCCGTCAGTCTGATCTGTTACTCCCCCACAAGTTGGTGAGTGCATATCAACAACTCCCAACTTGTCAAACAAAAACTTCAACCTGTAACGAGTCATCCCTTTTGTAAACATATATGCAAGTTGATCATCTGTTCTAACACGACTCAATTTAATCATTCCTGACTTCAATCTTTCCCTTGTAATGTGACAATCTATTTCAATATGTTTTTTCCTCTCATGGAAGACTGGATTCTCAGCTATATGCATTGCTGAGTGATTGTCACAGTATACCTGAATATGGAGTTCAACTTTGACATCCATTTCTGCCAACTAGTTCCTTAACCACTATAATTCACATACCAAATGAGCAAGGGCTCTATATTCTGCCTCTGAGAATGATCTGGATATTGTGATATGCTTTTTTGATTTCCAAGTGATCAAGCTCTCCCCCAATAGAGTACAATAAGCTATCACAGACTTCCTTGTATTTGGACAACTTGCCCAGTATGAATCTGAGAAACCAGATAACTTCAAATTGGAACTTGCTTGGAACATTAAACCTTCACTAGGAGCATGCTTCAAATACCTGAGAATTCTGTAGGTTGCAGAAAGGTGTTCACTATAAGGGTATTTATGAAATTGGCATAACTGTTTCACAAGAAGGTCAAATCAGGCATGGTTAATGCAAGATAATATAGCATTCCAATCAATCTCTTGTACACTTCTGGATTGGCCAAAGGCTCCCCTGCATAGCTGTTGACTTCACTTTTTAATCAATAGGTGCTAGGCAATCCTTAGCATCCATATAACTTGTGTCTGCTAGCAATTCTATGCTATACTTCCTCTGATTAACATGTATGCCCTTATGATCCCTATAAACTTCCAGTCCAAGGAAGTACTTTAAAATTTCCAGATCCTTGATTTTGAACTCTCTTCCAAGGAACAACTTCAATTGCTCTATGTCCCCTAAGGAACTCCCTGCAATCAACATATCATCTACATTGACCAAGACAAACAGAACCATGCCTTGTGTCCTTTTAACAAACATAGAATAATTAGAAGATGCTTGGGAGAATCCATGTTTAAGTAAAGAACCTGCCAGTTTAGCAAACCACTGTCTATTGGCTTTTTTAAACCATATAGTGATTTCTTCAGTTTGAGAACATTCTTTTATCTGGCGGTTCCATACCTGGAGGAGGTTTCATCTTCATGCAATTTTCTATGGAGAAATGCATTGGACAGATCCATCTGATGTATGTGCCAATCATTTGTTGCTGTCACTGTCGAAAAAACTTTGATTGAGTTTATCTTGGCTACTAGGGAGAAGGTATCTAGGAAGTCTGTGCCATAAATCTGAGTAAACCCCTTAGCTACAACCCTGCTTTGTGCCTTTCAATGTTGCCATCTGCTCTAAGTTTGATTTTATACACCCATTTGCAGCCTATTGCTCTTTTCCCTGGAGGGAGAAAGGCTGGTTCCCAAGTCTGGTTAGCTTCCACTGCATCTCTTTCTTCCTTCATAGCTTCTCTCCAACAAAGTCTAGATAGGCTTCATCATAAGTCCTAGGTTTCACAGCTGTCATCACATTCAGTACATATGTTTTGTGTGCTGGTGGCAAATTGTCATATGAGACATAATTCTCCATAGCATACCTCTGCACAGCTCCCACTTTATAATCCTTGTGCCAAACAGGAATGGTCTTTAACCTGTCAGATTTCCTCAACACTAATTCTGGTCCTTCATCAACATCAGCTTGCTCAACCAACTCATCAGGCTCCCCATCAGAATGTTGTCCAGAAACCTCAAAGAAATCAGTAAGTGGCTCAGACAGTGTGTCAGGATAAGGAAGAGAAGTGGAAGGAGGTGCATAAGAAGTAGAAGGAGAAGATGATTGTGATGAAGGTAAGGTGGATGGAACCACATTCTATGGTGGATAAGATGATGATGAAGGAAGGTTAGAAGAAGTCTGGGGTAAAACAACTTCCACGGAACTAAGAATAGAAGGTATAGAATCTGGTAAAGGGGAATAAGAATAGTGAAAAGGTAGAATGTGCTCATGGAAGATGACATGTCTGGAGACAAAAAAAATTGGTGTGTACTCAGATTAAAGAGCTTATATCCTTTGATTCTAGAAGGGAAACCAAGGAAAACACATTGTCAAGCTCTAGGGGTGAATATGGTTCTGTCTTTGAGTAAGGTAGAGACATAACATAAACTGCCAAACGCCTTCAAATGAGACAAGTCTTGAGGCTTTTTGTACAACAGTTCAAAGGACTTTAACGACTGGGATGGTAACCTATTAATGAGGTGAACAACATGGAGTATGCAGTCACTCCAAAATTGGAGAGAGAGACCTGATTGAAATCGAAGAGCTCGAGCCACATTGAGAATGCGTTGATGCTTTTCTCAACACGAGCATTCTGCTCAGGAGTCTCAATACATGAGATTTGATGCATGATCCCATGAGTAGAATAGAAATCAAGCATGTGGAATTCATTTCCCCTGGTCACTTCTAATTACTTTGACTACTTTCTCAAACTGTTTATGAACCATAACACAAAAGGACTTCAAAACATCACTAGCTTCAGACTTGTGTTTCATTAAAAAGGTCCAAACACTCATAGAGTAATCATCCACCAATGTAAGAAAGTAAGAGTAGCCATCATGAGACTTTACAGCAAGAGTTCCCCAAATGTTTACATGAACTAAATCAAAAAGAGACATAGCTCTACTATCACTATCTGGAAAAGGAAGTTTCCTTTGTTTAGCAAAATGACAAGTCGGACAATGGTGAACTGTAAACTTATTACAACCAATAACTTGTTTCTCTCTATCTCTACCAGGATGGCCTGGTCTCTAATGCCATAGATCAAAGTAGTCTGGTTCAAAGTTGTAGGTGGCTGCTACTTGGTGAGGTGGAGTGGCTGAAGGTGAGCTTGGCAAGGAAATGAGATGATAGAGGCCTCTAATTTGTCTTGCTAAACCAATCTATGTCTTGGTTTTCAGGTCCTGAATATGACAAAGAAAGGGGAAGTTCATGTGTAATCTTGCTTACTAAGATTAAATTAGAAGTGAAACTAGGGACAAGCAAGACATTTTGTAAGAATAAACCAGTTGGGGTTCTGAATCTCCCTATATGACTCACTAGAATCCTATCCCCATTAGGCAAGTGAACAAATTGATTGGTTACTGGCTTGGCATCCAAAAATTAAGATAGAGAACAAGCAATATGGTTTGAAGCTCCAGTATCCAATATCCATATCCGAGCTAATGCCATCAAACCATGTTGCAGGCAAGAGGAATAATACATATTTATCAGCATGTTTGGGAAATGGAGGTAGCTGTTGTGAGACAGAAAAAGCAGAATGTTTGATGGAAAGAGAGAGTGGTGGAGAAGGACTCATGTTGTCTGGTTGCTGAAGGACAAACTTAAGCTTTTTAAGCCCATCACTTATGAAGCTAATAGATCCTAGTGAAGAACTTTTGCACTCAATGTTGTGACTATGTGTAGAGGAGTTGGAATTAAGGCTCGCTATTTGGTCCGACCTTTTTGGTTTTATCCAAAACCGGACCGTATAACCCGGACTGGGACCGGGTAGCAAACAATCCAATCCAATCTCCGAGCCTAGATTTGAGGTAAAAAAACCACTTGGGACAGGACCGAAAACCGGATAAAGACTGGATAAGAGAGCCCAACACTCAAAATTTAACCTCCTCACCCTTTCAGGCCTTAGGCCACTCAAATCCCCCCTCAAGCCACTCAAATCCCCACAA